CTAAGAAGCCTCACAGCGGATACTGGAGGGCCAGCAAGGCATGGTCCAAGGATCAGGTGGGATGCGGGGGCACAAGCAGGGCATAGAACTTGGAGGCAGAGAAATCTGGCTGCTGCAGATCCTGGCTTTGCCGTGGTGAGCCAGGCCCTCGGACAAGTTACTTAACTCCTGAGAGCTTCAGTTTTCTCCTCTGTCAGAGTGGGTTGACAACGCCATCCTTGCGTGGTAGGCCCCTATAGACGTGCTTTATGACACGTTTTTGTCATCAGTGAGAAATCACAGATCTGTGAAGGGCTGGCTCGTGGCCTGGAGCAGAACAGGGACCACGTGGATGGAGGCAGCTCTCAGGAATTCTGTTCAACCCTATACCCTGCCGGAATCTCCTCTGCAGCACCCCTGACAGTGGAGCCAGACTGTGTTAGGGTGACAGGCGCTCACTACGTCACTCAGGAACCTAGGTTATTTTAAAGGCCGGGAGAGGCATAGTATATAGAAAAATCTGGTATGTAGCTGAAATCTGGGCTAGTTGTGTGACCTTGGAAAAGTCACTGCATCTCTCTGATCCTCCATTTCTTCATCAGTAAAATGGAATCATTATGACTCTGTGAGGGATGGGGATTTGACATAAAGTGTGCAGAAGACCCATTCTGAGATCCGTACTTAACTGGTACTTGGTAAATGATAGGTAAAAATAAAAGCACTATTATGAAGCGGTTGTAAGAAGCAATTATAAAACACCTGCTGTACTTAGGGCATCCAGTGGGTTTTGGAGGTAATACAGTGTGAGCATATTAGTCCATGGATGCTGGTAGCCTGTGAATCAAATGCCGCAACCGAGTTGTCTGGGGAGGGTGTGACGCCCTCTCCCTAGCCCCAGGGTTACACAAGTCCCTGTCCCCGCTTGGCGGGAGCGTATGATCTCCTACTGTGAGTTGAGTGCCATGACATTTTGTAGTATGTCACAGGAACAGGGCATTGAAGGAATGAAATGGTCCAGAAGACTGGGGTCTCATGTCCTTTATCTACATCAAAGGGCTGGGCTGGGCTTGGGAGTTCCCTACAGCCACTCGAGGCAGGGGCTTGCCAAATCACAAAGATGAATCACCCCATCTACACGGATGCCTCTTTCTAGCAGTTCAGGGCTCATCTTTTTTTTTTTTTTAAAAGAAAGCAAAACAACTTTTTCAATGATAAAAAGAGTATATTCTTGGCCGGGCGTGTTGGCTCGCGCCTATAATCCCAGCACTTTGGGAGGCTGAGGTAGGTGGATCACCTGAGGTCAGGAGTTTGAGACCTGCCTGGCCAACATGGTGAAACCCCATCTCTACTAAAAATACAAAAATTAGCTAGGCACCGTGGTGGGTACCTGTAGTCCCAGCTACTCGGGAGGGTGAGGCAGGAGAATGGCTTGAACCCAGGAGGTGGAGATTGCAATGAGCCAAGATTATGCCATTGCACTCCAGCCTGGGCAACAAGAGAAAAATTCCATCTCAAAAAAAATATATATATATATGTATATATGTATGTATTTTTTTTTCTTAGTAGAAATTTTGAGGACAAAAGAAAGAAAATGGACAAACACCTTAGTATCTCAGGATATTTGACATATTTTCAGTCTTTTTTCTATACTAAAAAAACAAAAAATTTAAGTAATTGGAAATATACTACATATTGTTGGGGTTTGAGCTTTTCACTTAATATTCTATCAACTCTTCTCCATGTCTTCAGATATTCTCTGCAGAAGTGTTTTTTCAGTGGCTGCATAATGTTCCAGCACTGCCTGATCTCAAATCTACTTAGCCACTTGAAAATTTGTGGGCATTTAGGAATAAGCGGCTTTAAAAAAAGATTCTCATCAAATGGGATATAATTCCTAAGTATTCCTGTGTGTTAAGGATTGCCACTATGGTGTTGAAAAGTTCTGAGTCATGGGGCAGAAGGGTTGACCAGTTGACCACTGGATTCCTCTGTTCCACGAGCCCCTTGTGGCCCTCAGAAGGGAGTGAGTGGGGGCAACAGGTGTGGCGATACCCCATCCTGGGGTGTATGGCAGCCCTGTGTCACTGCCGTCCCCCAAGGCACCATATCAATTTCAAGCTTCATTGATGTTCAGGCAGCAAAGAGAAGATGCTAATTCGACATTTTACCAAATAGAAAACATTCCTAATTCAGCCAGACTTCCTTGACATGCTTTCCGGCTATTTAAAAGTGGTTGGTTAATTTTTTTAATTGACACGCAATGAAGAATGCAAAGAAATCTGTAAAATATCCAGAGTCCCTGTTGATCCAGCAGACGGCTTGGTCATCCCACGGGGCTGGAGCTGGCCAGGGAAGTTGTACCAGCTAAAACTAAGAAGCAGGTGGGAGTTGCCTGTTCATGTAAAGGTTTTGAGCTTCAGGACAAAAGGAAGAGGCTCAAAGGAGAGAGACAGCATCTGGCCCCTTTCCCTTCGCTGCTTCCTTTAAAATGATGGAAATACTTGGATTCTGATTTCGATTCATTTCTGCCAAAAGTAATAAATAGAGGCTGAAATGTGCCGCTGATCCCAAATCTTTCCCAGGAAGGTGCGATGCTCCCAGATGCTTTCAGACCCCTTTGAGAAGAAAGTTATGGTCATTTCTGGCAGGAAAACATTGTGAGCTGTCCCCAGTTGATTCGCGTAGGGAGGTTTTTCTCACCCTAATACAGTCTGAGTGTTCCTGAACTCACCGTCGGCTCTTTTCAGCCCCTTCTCGGTCTTGTGGTTGGGTAGTGTTTCAGGCATCAGGCAGTGCTTGTGAGGATCAGAACCTTCCTGAGGGCCAGCACTGCGTTCTGTCCTTCTCTGCGTTAACATTAGACCAGCACAGCACCAGCCCGGCTTAGACCCCCATACATGTGAGCTGAGTAACGATTGCAGGCTGCTCTCCATGGAACTGTGGAACATGGAGAGGCTAAAAGAAGACTGGCTGATGTGTAGATCATCTTATGAATAGCAAATAATGGAGACCTCTTCCCGTAGTTGGACGACCCTATACAACGTAGAAAGTCAGAGTTAGTGAATAAGCCAGATCAGAAGCTTCTGGTGGGCAGGCGTCCTCTCGCTATATCCTACAGAACCTAGCACACTGTTGGATATCTAGCAAGTGCTCAGCAAAGGAGAAGTGGTTGAAATTGTTGTGAGTGAATGGATGAGTTACTTTATTAGTTTTCCTTTGTATGTCCAGTGGGCCTCAAGAACTGTACCAATGAAACGAATGGTGAGATTAACAGACACCAGGGAGAGCACTTTCATTCTGTCTCAGCCCACAGAGGGTGGCCGAGAGCATGGCCCTGGTCACCTGGAAGTCCTGGGTTCAAGTCCCAAGCCCTCCTCTCATTCCTGTGGTTGCCATATTGGACATGCCTCACTCCGAAGATCTCAGCTGCCCCCCACATCCACCTCTGAGAGCGGTCTCTGACTCATCCACAGTGGCCTCCCTCCCTTAAGCTCCCTTAGCTCTACTGTAGGTTTCACGCTGGTAATTGATCATATTCTACCTTTCCTTGTTGTCTTAAGATGTCATGTAGGTCTATTTAAATGGACGCTTCCCACATTTCAATTCTGTTTCCCATTGGAGAGTGTGCCCGAGGGCTGTGGGCAGCGCTCTGTTCTGCGGGTCAGAGGCTTTGGCTTTGAATTCTGGCACAAGCCACCCACCTCTCTGGGCCTCAGCCTGTCATATCTATAAGGTAAAAGGCTGTTGTGAGAATGGATGAGAACAAATATATGAAACCACCTTGTAAACTGTAAGGTGCCTTCTAGAAATTGGGCATCATTCTGATGGCCAGCTTCCCTAAGGACAGGGGCTATTTCTTTTGTGGCATGTACCACCCAGAACCGAGTGCAGGGCTGCCACACACATTTCAGTGCTTGGAAATGCAGCCTGGATCTCATCTGCTGCTTTTGCTCAGGGCTGTGTTCCTGCCTTCCTTTGGAACTGGGAGCTATCTCTCCTTCCAGCTTCCAAATGCCCAGAGGTGCACCAAGTTCCAACCCAGACACCCTGATTTGTGGAGGATGCAAAGTAAATGATAAGGGTAGCTAACACTTGGCCGGGCGCTGTTCTTGGTACTTTGCATACACTAACTCCTTTACATTCACCACAGCCCTGGGAGGTAGGTGTGGCTCTTATCCCAGCTGACACAGGAGGACATGGGTGCAGAGAGGTGGAGTGGGCATTCTAAGGTCATGTAGCCCTAAGTGGCTGTGGCTAGGCTGGGACCCAGCAGTCTGGCCCCAGAGGTCACGTTCTTAACCACGCCCCATAGGCTCTCTAAGCTCCCCTGGGACTGGAGGCTTCAGTGGAGGCCACAGGGCTCACCTCCCCCACCCAATCCCTAGCAGAGGGACCGCCAGGGTCCTTCTCCTGCCAGGACCCCTCTCTGCTCCTGTGCTTTCCCCTTTCCCTCTCCAGTAGCTCCTCTGCCGCCCCTGCCTTCCTCCCCTGCACTCAGCCTAAGCCGGGAGATGAGAGCAGCTGCCGGGACATTTGAATTCATTCATGAAAGAACTCTGCCTCCGAAACCCTCTGATTTGGGTTTGTTGAGTGAAAACAGAGACCCAAACTGGCATAATATTGATGGCCAAACCATGTAATAGCGGCACAAAAAAGAATGATGTTCACATGACTTATGAGCATGGAAGCACAAATTCTAAATAACACATCAGCAAACTGCATCTAGCCATGTATAACAAACATAATACATCATGTCCAAGTAGCGTTCATCCTGGGAATGCAAATACGACTTAGCCCGAGAAAACAAGGCTCAGAGGGGGCAGCCGCTGAGACGTAGCCGGCCCAGGCGCTGTCCGGGGCTTGTGTGCGGCTCAGGTTGACTTTGTGCTACACCTGCTCCTAGGAGGGGCTGGTCACCGTCCCTCTTGCGTCCCCACCCCTCCTCCTTTACACAGCCGCAGAGTAAAGCCAGCCATTCCTTGCCTGCACTCCCTAATCCTCTCTCTCCGTTGTTCCTGCAGGACTCCATGTTTTCGTTGGCCCTGAAATGCCTTATCAGTCTGTCCACCATCATCCTTTTGGGCTTGATCATCGCCTACCACACACGTGAAGTCCAGGTAGGTGCCCCCACCTCACCCCTTCATACAGCAGCTGATCCTCTGACTTTGCTCTGAGCCGAGCCCATCCCCACCCCCAAAACCCACTCCCTAAGCTGCTACTTGGGTGATTTTCCAAGATGGTGCCCAAGATCGTGGCTCTTCTCTTCTGGTTTGGACCCAAATGGGAGAGGAAACTGCGAGGCTGCCGTGTGGCTTTAGAATAACTCTGAAGTTGTCTCCAAAGTGGGGATCCCAGAGGCAAACGTAGGGCTTCACGCTGAGCGAGGCTGCCCTGTTTGGGACCCTCAGTGAGCACCACCAGTCTGGGAGGGTTCCTGATGCATTGTCTGCCTCTTCCGTCACTTGTTGGATCCTTTCTGAACTTGGGCTGCTGAGTGGATCCCCTCAGTGACGCATACCTGTCTTGTGTACCCTGACATTTGCTGCACCAAACTCCACCAAGGAGTCTGCTTCTGTGAATGGTGTGGGCTTTACTGCTGTGCCAAACTGGGGGTGTCATTTTCTAGACAGAATAAGAGTCTGCTGGGGCTGAGGAGGCCTCTGTTTCTTGCTGCCCAGGACTGACTTGGTACCCAGAGAAACACTGGCTGGGCCTCCAGGGTGCATTTCCAGTTTGGCCGACATAGGGAGGATGGGTCGACAGAGGTCAGGAGGGTCAGACAGGAGGGAACAGATCTGAGGCATCTTCTGGTGACAACGAGCCTCCCCTAACCCCTGGCCCGTCAGGCTGACCGGCACTGCTGTGGACCTGAGCAGTTCTAAACTATCCAGATGTTTTTCCTCATGTGCATGTGAATCTGGAAACCGTCCCGGTCCTTTGGCTGGAGGAGCACAGATAGATTCACATCTGGGCAGCAGGCGAGAGATTGACGAAGACCAGAGCTCAGAGTCAGAAAAGCTGGGGTCAAGTCTCGGCCATGACCTTTTTTCTCAGTGTGTCTTTGGCCAGCCCCATGACCTTCCAGGGTCTCAATCTTCTCATCTAGGACACGGGGCCTTTATTCCAGCTCTGCTGAGCTGTTGTGAGGATGGATGAGCGTGTGGGAGAGTGCTTTGTGAAGCGCTATTTAATGACACTGTTCAAATCCTGTCCCTTTTGTTACTCAGTATTTTCAGGGTGGAGCAGCTGGGCGGATGCAGGTGGGAGCGCCGCCTCCTCCTAGAGAGAGCCTTGGCTTTTTGACCGAGGGTCAGGGGCCACTGAGGCTGGCTGGGCCACAGGAGCCTCAGTGCCAGGCCACCTTGGCAGGACTCCATTCTGTCGATGACCAGAGGACACTGACCTGGCTGCTGGGGCAGGGGTTGCAAGGGTTTGGACAGGGGCTGTGCCCTGAGGGCTGAGAGTTCCAGATGCCACCAGGTGACTTCCTTCATGGAGTCTAAATCGGACAAAGTGGTGGACTTTAACTCAAACCATTGTCCAGCTGGCCCCAGAAAGGAGCCAGGAGTACAGCAGGAAGGAATAGGGCTGCAGAACCAAGAAGGGACAGGAGTTGACAATCTAGCTCCAGGCCCGGTTCACCCCACCCAAAGCCAGCGTGGGACCTGGGCAGTCCTGCAGCGTCCATGTCCTCATCTGTAGGGAGTCTGTATTACTATGTGTCACCTTGACCTGTGTGGGGAGGTGTCACACACACCAAGGAAAAAAGGCAAAATCATAAAACTCAATTATGAGCCAGGCTTGAGGAAGGGGAAGAAGAGGAGCTGTTCTCAGCCTCAACCCCACACTACGGTGGTGCTAAGCCTACTTCCTCTTTCTGCTCCAGGCATTGGGGTGGGTGGAGCCAGGTGTCCCTCCCTCTGATGCTCCTGAAGTCCTTGTTCCCGGCCCAGGACCTGCAGCCTTAGCTGCTGACCTGCTCTGGTCCAGCTGCAGCTTGACTCAGCTCTGGCCTGGTGGCAGGGTCCTGTCGCTGACAGCCCAGAACCTGGCTGGGCACCCTTCCTCTGTGTCCCACTCATGGCCGACCTCTATTTCAGTCCTCATCATAGGCAGTAGATGATGCTATTGGGGGTCATTCAATTTGGCCTGACACAGTTTGGAGAAACAAAGTGAAATCAGTTGTGTTGGATCCTGACTCTGGTCTCAGTTTCCCCATCTGAAGTATGGGCACATCACCCACTTTGCTGAATTCTTGCAGGAGTTGGGAACAGTGTAGAGTACAGAGTGGGCTTTCACAGAATGGAAACTTTGGTCACTTTCCTGTGACCTTTGCTCCACTGCTTCTAGCTGGGCCTTGTCACTTACCAGCTGGATCTGCCAGGTGGTCACTGTCACAACTGCCTGGTACTGGCAGGTGGCCAGCCTTCCTCCTGCTCTGGCCCAGCCGTGCCTGCACCCTGAGTTCCCGCCACCCAGGCCTTTTCCTCCCAGCAGCCTCCATCACTTGAGGAAGGTCCCCAGCACTGACTTCCTCTGTGCCTCTTACCTTTCCAGTAAAGGTCTTTCTGCGCCCAGCTGGACCTTTTCTTGCCAGAGGGAAATGGGAATGGCTTGGGCCCAGAGAGTCAGTGGGAGGGAGGGTTTGTTCCTACAGAGCGCCCTTATATATACCTCACTGGGCCATATGGTAGTTTTCTGTTTGGTGTCTTTCTTCTGCCCCTCAGGGACAGTTATCTTTGCATTTCTGGAGACCTATAGTGTCACAAAGAGCAGGTATGTGTAGCATGTTCTTTGAATGGAAAGCATGCTGGGTTCAAGGTAACTATTTCCCAAAGCTGGTCATAGCATGACTTTATGGTCTTAGCTTTGTGGTGTTGGTTTTGTGGTCTCGGTTTCCTCACCTGTTACTTAGCCCCCCAGTCTAGTAATTCTCTGGTTTGAGTCTGGCTGCTCAGCTAGCTTCGGAAGCTGCTTCCTGTGAGTGGAAGAAGGAGTTATCCTAAGCGTGACTGATGAAGTCATGCTGAGGGTAGTGCTTAGCAAGCACCTTCCGCAGGGAGAGGCCAGCTGCTGTTCATCTGTTGTGAAGCAGGCAGGGCAGGGGGTGGCTGCTGCATCTCCCCTTGGGGTGATATCAGGATCTTTATTAGGAATCTGCTCACACCTTTCCTCATCCATGTGGTTGCTGGTCACCTGGTAATCCCGTTCACAAGGGAGGAGCCCTTACGGCCTCATCCCCTCTGAAAGGCCCCATCTCTTAGCACTGCCACATTGGCAACACCTGAATTTTGTAGGGGACATGTTTAAACCTTAGTGCTCACCGAGTGCAGGAACCCCAGGGCCTCTGCGTGTGCTGCTGTGATGGAGCCGCTGGCCCCCTTGAAAGAGGCTGCCCTACCAGTGTCTTTAGAAAACCTCCCTGGAACTCGCCTCAGGCCTGGTTCTGCTTTTGGAACAGGGAAAAGAAGGCACTTGTGTCTCCCACGTGGTAGCCTCCGTTGTTTGAAGCCGGCACCCCACTCCGTCTCTCCTCAGTCTCCTCCTCTGTCAGCGTTTTGGAGCGGGGAGCTTTCAGAGACACTGGCATCTCTTCTCGGACGAGTATGTCCGGGAGAGAAATGAAAACACAGGAATCAATGCATTTTGTTTATTTACCAAAACTCTGACTGCAAACCGTGCTCTCCCTTGGAGAGTCCGTTTGCTGTGGTTCAGCTCTCACCAGCAGCTCTCAGACCGCGCCAACCCCTTCCCCAGGCTGCAGGCTCATGTTTTAGATGTCGCCAGCAGTCCTGGGCCCCACACGCCAAACAATGAACTCCTCATGCCCTCAGGACCCTCTCCTCCCTTGCCCTCCACGGCCCACTGAGTGCAGTCCTTGGTCCAGCATGTATTTAATGAGCCTCTTCTCCGCGCAGGCCTGGGACAGGAGCCCAGTTTTCTAGATGAGAAACTCGGAAGCCACTGTTGCTTCTCCCAAGGGTCGCCAACTTTGAGTGAATCTGTGGCTCTTAATTAACATCCCTGGTGCGGAAGCAGGAAAGGCCACAGAACAAACCTCTCTAACACCAAGCTGGGAAGGCAGCTCTGATTGATTCTGCCGGGAGCTGTGGTGGGTTAGACGCCTAACAGCCGAGCTCCCCAACCAAGAAAATCCTTGCCTTTCAGAGGCTTACAACTCTAGAAATTACGTGTACAAGAGTCCTGGGCTTAAAACTCTAGAAATTACATGTGAAAGCGTCTTGATCTGGGAAGTAGGCGTCGGGTATGTAACTTAGGTGGAGGTTTGATCATGTTTAAGTAAAAACAATGCCTTCCAGAAAGATTCCTCCATACCGTATCCATGATCTATAGGTGGGACTACGGTTTGCAGTAGGGGTCTTATCCTTAACCTGGCTGGCGATGCCAACTGGTCCCTCCTCTGGCTGACTTTTGAGATGCAGTGTCGAAGGCTGAAAGGGATTAAGGGTCTCCTTCCTCAGTGCCATCCTGGAAGGCAGGCTAACAGGTGACTGAGAACATGGACTTCAGAGCAGCCCAGCTTGGGTTCAAATCATGCTCTTTGTCATATTCTAGTGTGTAGAGTGGCCTTTGTCAAGTTACTTAATCCTTCTTAGTCTATTCCTTTCTGTAAAGTAGGACTGATATTGGTGCTGTGGAGGCCACGGTAACTCCATCTTGGCTGCTGATCCTCTATATTGACTTGCGATTAGCCCAGTTCCGGGAGAGCCTCTAAGATTCCTCCTTCATCTACGGTTTACTGTAAGTTCTGCCCTTAGGCAAATTGCTTCTGAAGCACAAATACCCCTTCCCTATGGTATCTAATCCCTGGGTCTGGGGGGTCGTGGTGCAGGGTCCACCATCTTGTCTTACTGCCGAGGGAGACTGTGGCTTTTGTTCATAAGTACCTATGCTTCTTTCTGAGAAACTGGATATGTCAGCCTCTTTCTTCAGCCTCTCAGCTTCCTCAGCCTTCGAGGATAGGTTTGCATTCCCACCTGGAACCAGTACCTACCAGAAAGGGTTATTGTACAGATTCAATTAGCTCATATATGCAGAACTCCTTCGCTTAAGTGAGAGTGTGGCTGTCTGGCTGACAGGGTGGGAAGGGTACCCC